AGTTTGTTGTTGTCTTTATTGATGACATAATGGTTTACTCGAAGTCCATTGAAGAGCACAGCGCACATCTGAGGCTAGTTTTGCAAATTCTCAGGGATAAAAATCTCTATGCGAAATTGTCCAAATGTGAATTTTGGCTAAACGAAGTAATTTTCTTGGGGCATGTGATCTCGGCAGTTGGGATTAGAGTAGACCCTCAGAAGGTTAAAGCTATAATGGATTGAGAAGTTCCTTAGAATGTGTCTGAAGTTCGAAGTTTTCTTGGACTTGCCGGTTACTATCGAAGATTCGTTAAGAATTTTTCGATGATTGTGCTGCCTTTAACAAAGTTAATGAGAAAGAACATACCATTTGTTTGGACTTCTGAATGTCAAGGAAGTTTCTAAGCTTTAAAGAGAATTCTGACGGAAACTCCGATATTGGTTCAACCGGAATCTGGCAAGAATTTTGTAGTATACAGTGACGCATCCCATAACGGGTTGGGGTGTGTATTAATGCAAGAAGGAAAGGTGGTAGCGTATGCATCGAGACAGTTGGAACCATATGAAAAGAATTACTTCACTCATGATTTAGATATGGCTGTTGTAGTATTCGCTCTTAGGATTTGGCGTCATTATCTTTATGGGGAGCGTTGTTACTTATATACGGATCATAAGAGCCTGAAGTACCTGATGACTCAAAAAGAGTTGAATTTGAGGCAACGTAGATGGATAGAGTTCTTAAAGGATTATGATGTGATAATTGACTATCATCCCGGAAAAGCTAATGTGGTAGCAGATGCTTTGAGTAGAAAGACGTTTGCAGCTTTACGAGTTATGGATGCAAGATTATCTTTAATGGGAGACGGTGGTCTTTGTGCAGAATTAACCCTTAAACCAGCATGGTTGGAACAAATAGGAGAATTGCAAAGCAAAGATGAAATGTGTTTGAAAAGAATTGAACAAGTAAAGAACAAAGAGATTAAAGACCTTGAGATTAAGTCAGATGGAAATCTATATTATAAAGGAAGAATTGTAATACCCAACAATGACGATTTGAAGAAAGCAATATTAACAGAGGCTCATTGCAGTCCGTTAACGATGCACCCGGGTGGAACCAAGATGTATATGGATTTGAAGGATCGATTTTGGTGGTCAGGGATGAAACGAAGCATCACCGAATTTGTGTCTAAGTGTTTGATATGTCAACAAGTCAAAGCCGAGCATCAAGTTCCATCAGGATTATTGCAACCGCTTTTCATTCCTCAATGGAAATGGGAAAATGTTATGATAGATTTTGTTTCGGGGTTACCATTGACTCCGAACAAAAGAGAATCAATATGGGTAATTATTGATCGATTAACTAAGTCAACGCATTTCCTTCCGGTTAGAACGGATTTCTCTATGGAAAAGTATGCAGAGCTGTATATTAGAGAAGTTATTAGATTGCATGGAGTGCCTGTTTCCATAGTCTCTGATCGAGACCCTCGATTCACTTCTAGATTATGGAAATCTTTGCATGGAGTGTTGGGGACTCGTTTAAATTTTAGTACGGCTTTTCATCCTCAGACTGATGGGCAATCAGAAAGAACTATTCAGATATTGGAAGATTTGTTGAGAGCATGCGTAATGGAATTCAAAGGGTCATGGGAAAAGTATTTACCGCTGGCAGAGTTCGCTTACAATAATAGTTATCAGTCTAGTATAAAGATGGCCCCATATGAAGCATTATATGGAAGAAAATGTGGTACTCCATTAAATTGGTATGAACTCAAAGATCGAAGTGTTCTTGGTCCGGATTTAATTCAAGATGTAGAACAGAAAATTCGAGAAATTCAGCATAACCTCAAAGTGACCTCTGATCGGCAAAAGTCTTATTCTGATCTTAAAAGAAAGGAGATTGAATTTGAAGTTGGGGATAAAGTGTTTTTAAAGGTATCTCCATGGAAGAATGTGTTGAGGTTTGGTCGGAAAGGAAAGTTAAGTCCCCGGTTTATTGGACCATATGAGATTGTAAAAAGGGTGGGACCCGTAGCATACCAATTGACTTTACCACCAGAAATGGAAAATATTCACAATGTATTCCATGTCTCAATGATTCGAAGATATCGATCGGATCCCTCCCATATCGTAAACCCAGAAGAGATCGAGCTACAACCGGATATGACTTATGAGGAAGAACCGATTCAAATTTTAGCTCATGAGGTTAAGCAATTGAGGAACAAGACTATTCCATTGGTTAAAGTTTTATGGAAGAATCACAAAGTAGAGGAAGCAACATGGGAGCATTTGGTGATTTAAGTAAAATGATGAAAGAGTTAAATGACCTATTTGAGTTATTTGGTGTAGGATTGAATTATAAATAAGGAAAAATTAAGAGGGCAAAAGAGTATTTTAGTAAGATTAATAATTAAATATTCCTTAAGGTGATTTTATAAATCACGTGGAAAGCATTTGAGATAAACAAGGTTCCAGACATTTCTCTTCTTCTTCTTCTTCTCCAACTGTGAAGCTTGCAAGCAAAGGTGAGTTGTCTTCTTTTAGATTAATTCTTATGAGTTAAGCATCGGTTTGGTTAATGAAGATTTAGGAAATATGATGGAGAGAAACAAGGATCCTAGAACTCAAAGAATTGTAAGTTAAGGGAGATTAAAGGTTGGGAGCCATTGAATGAAATCTTAGATTAAAGGTCATAATAAGAATTAGAAGCTGGATTTGACTTGTCATCAAGCTAATTAAGAAGTATGAGGTGATAGAATTAAAATTAGAACAAGTTGGAATTTGAGTAAGATTCTTAAATTCTATATGGAGGATTAATTTTTTTAGTTTTAGAGGTATTGGATGGATAATAATTAGTTTAAGTAAGTGTATGAAAGTTAAGAGTATTAAAGGGAGTGAAATATGAATGTTTGAGCTGAAATGAGATGATTTTCGAGCTCAAAATAGGATTTCTAGGCTAGGGGAATCGGTACCCATTCAAGGGGAATCGATACCCCCTCAACGAATATGAATTTCCAGAATGCTAGAGGGGAATCGATACCCCAGGGGGGGAACCGATTCCCCCATAATGAAAAAAAGAAAGAAAGAATAAAGACTAAACTATTAATCCCTTAAATTAGTAGGCCATTAGAGGTTAATTTCAAGACCTATGCATCTGATAATCATCTTGAAAATTATGCTTATGTAGATATTGAGCCTAATCGAGTTCCGGAACCATCGACAAGTAGGATCAATCGAGGGAAAGACAAAGAAATCTAGGTGAGTGCATATGCATAGCATGAATATGTATTTTATTCAGTTCTAGACTTGTGATAAGTCTAGATTCAATATTTTGATACATGATTGTAGTTCATATGATGATATATGACCTGAATCCATACCATATGCATTATGGGACATGAATATGAAAGAAAAGTTATATGAGTTATATGATAAAGGTATGGAAATAATATGTCTACGTGATATGAGTTAGATAAATTGTGAAAGCCCATGTTATGTAAATGAGAACTATAGGTATAGTTGGCATGCCAAGGGTAGAGGGTCTATGTGGTCCTTCGGGACATATATGTATTCTTTGGAACATGTGTGAGGTCTGGTGAGACATATACTTGATCCTTGGTATATGTATATGATTCTTAAGGAATGATATGTGGTTCTTCGGGACATATATGTATTCTTTGGAACATGTGTGAGGTCTAGTGAGACACATACTTGATCCTTGGTATATGTATATGATTCTTAAGGAATGATATGTGGTCCTTATGGACATTATTATATGGCACTACGGTGCAATTCTACGCGGCACTCCAGTGCAATTCTACGTGGCACTTAGGTGCAATTATATGAGCTGTGGTGACAACATAGTGCACAACCTCACAATACTCACATATCTTAGGTTCTCTGTATGGTACCATGGGCTAATGAACTTACTAAGGCGAACTTATGAAGGTGAATTTGATAAGTATATGTGTAAGAAACATGATTTTGGTTATTGCATTATTTGCATACATCTTATTATTGCAACCCATCTCATTTTGGCAATTACTTTATGTTTTTTGATATTATTATTATATTATTGCCTCACTAAGTCGATGACTTAGCGAGTGAGTGTTTCACACGTAGGATCCGATAAAGTAGACGATCGAGGTTAAGCAGCTGGACAACATTACTCCTGCAACTATCAGATTAGAAGCAACTTAATCAGTAGGTCATTTTGTTATGAAAATGGATGTTGGTATGTAATTAAGAAGTTAAGTTGTGTATGCTCTGAATATTTTGGTAAACTTATAGTACCATATGTATATTATTGTATTTTTCGTAATATAAGTTCAAGTATTTTACTATTATTTGTAATGAGTTGTGTTTTAAAAGTCAATGTAATATCTCTGACTCGTATCCGGGTTGGTATACGGGTTGGGGGTGTTACAAGAACCCTCAGTACCATGGCAAAAAATTAACAAATCATCAGCAAAGCTAAGATGAATGAGAAGAACGCACTTACATTTAGGATGAAACCGAGTTAGCCCTTCCTTGGCAGCAACATTTAACAAGTAGGACAACATATTCATAATAAGTACAAAGAGATAAGGGGACAGTGGGTCACCCTATCTAATTCCCCTCTTCCCTTTAAAAAACCCCACTAAACTACCATTAAATGCCATAGAATATCTTGCACCAGTGACACATACAATAATCCAATCCCTAAATCTTTTTGAAATCCCTAAGAAAGCAAGAACATTCATTAAGAAGTCCCAAGATACATAATCAAATGCCTTCCTTAAGTCAATTTTAAGAGTGCACCTAAGGGAAAGTGATATGCGGGAGTAGCCCCTAACAATCTCTTGAGCTAAGAGTGTGTTATCTACTATAATGCGCCCTTTAATAAAAGCATACTGATTTGGAAAAATCATGTCTGAGAAGTAACTAGTTAACCGATTAACAATGATACCAGTGATGGTTTTATAGACAACCGAGCAACAAGATATAGGGCGAAAGTCCTTAGCCATACCAATATTTAGAGTCTTAGGCACCAAGGCAATTATTGTAGAATTGAAAGCAGGAAGCAGAGTTCCAGACTGAAAAAAAATCTCTAATAGCAGCCAGGAAATCTTCATACACAATATCCCAAGCCATCTTAAAAAAATATGATGTATATCCATCTGACCCAGGGCTCATTTCATTACGTTGCCTGAACATAGAAGCTTTAATTTCTTCATTAGAGACCTCATTGACTAATAAAACAGCATCATCACAAGGAAGCTCATACCCCAACAAACCTTTGAGAAGATCAACACCACAACTTTTAACCCCAGCATCTTCAAAACCAAGAAAGTCAGTGTAAAATCTCAACATCTCAGCAGACATATCATCAAATGAGTCCAACCGAGAACCATCCTCAATATAGAGTAATCTAACAATGTTTCTCTTTCTTTTCCTCATTACAGTAGAGTAAAAAAATTTTGTATTTCTGTCTCCCTCTTTCAACCAATGGACTTTGGCTTTTTGCTTATAGAAAGAAGCTTCAACCAGCTCAACCTCTTGAAGTTCATTAAAAATAATCTTCCCCTCTTCTAAATGACAACCAGCTTGTGAAAGATTTGCAAGCTGCATCTGCTCAATCTGGGCTCTTTTGGCCTTTACCCTGCTTGAAATATCATCAAAATGGCTTTTGTTGAACTCCCTAAGTCTCAACTTGAGCCTTTTCAGCTTAGCAAAAAGGTAGAACATAGGGGAGCCAGACACTTCTAGATTCCAAGACTCTTTAACAACACTCTTGAAATCCCCATGATTAGCCCAACAATTAAAAAACTTGAAAGGTTTGGGCTAGTCAGCCTGGTTTTCCTTGAAAAAGGAAATCACAGTAGGGCAATGATCAGAGACCCCCTGTATTATAAACTCAACAAAAGAATTTAGGAAATCTTCAAGCCACCGAGAGTTAATAAGGACTCGATCCAACTTGCGTGCCAAAAAACTCTCTTCTTGTTTATTAGACCATGTGTAGAGGGGACCTACATAGGAATGATCAAAAAACCCCAAGGATGATAAACAACTCCTACAAGCCTCCATTTCAGCGGTGTCATAAGGCCCAAGCCTTTCAAAGTCTGAGCTTTCTTCAACATTAATGAAAGTGTTAAAGTCATCTCCTATTAGCCATGAGGACCCCCCACCAAGCTTTTCACATCTTCCAACTGCCTCCAGAGGTGCAGTCTATCAGAACCACTGTTGCTGCCATAGACTACAGTTATGACACATCTATGGCCACCAATCTCACCAACAAAAGACAAAGACTGGTCAAAGACTTTCAAGACTGAGAAGGTAAGATCTTTCCTCCAGAAAATCCACAGCCTACCATTGTCAGAACATTCATGATTTGTAAAACAATCCCAGTCCAAAGAATAACATTCAACCAGCTTGCACACATTAATAGTCCTCACTCGAGTTTCCATAAGGCAGATAATGTCTACATTAAGCTTGCCTAGTCTTGCAAAAACTTGCTTTTGCTTCAGGGGGTTATTAAATCCCCTAATATTCCAAAAATATATAATCATTGAGCAGGATTAGCCTCCCCCAAACAGCTCCAACAACAGTACCCACTAACTTATTTACGAGGTCTTTCTTTTTATGTTTTATTTCATTTAAGAGAGTAGCAACACCCATGGAAGCCACACAGGGCTTCTTACCTCATTCTAAACCAGTAGCTGCCATCAAAACCTCAAAACAGTTAGAAGAGCTAGCAAATTGCTTTTTAGCTTTATTCTTGGTCTTCTTTTTCTGAGAGAAAGCTTGCAAATGAGGAAAATCCACTGCAGTAGGCTTAGCAGACCCCTTACTAGCAACCTTATCTTCATTAACCAAGTCCACAACCAACTCATCCACCTGAGAATTCTCCCAATTCTCCAATCCTTCTCCAGCAGGTTGACAAGGTTCCTGCAAAGCCTCAATTCCACCAACAACAGGAATTTCAGAATACTTGTCCTTCCCACAACTCTCAAACCTTTTTCCAGTAGGTTCATTAGCTACTTTCAATACCTCTACACTATCAATAGCTGCAGTTGCAGGACAATTTACATCCCCTTTCTTCCTCCAGACCTGAATCACAGTAGGTTGAGACATGTGCACCTCAGGACAAACCTTCTCACTATGCCCAAAAACATTACATCTCAGACAATAAGCGGGTAACCAGGGAACCACAACCCTGATCGACACAACAAGTCCATCTTGCAACATAACATCTACAAATTTTGGGATCGTATCTCTCACTCCAATTTCAATGTAAACTTTTGCATACTATAATCTTATCTTGGACGCAGTCATAGAGTCCATAGACAAAGGCACACCCAACGCACTGGCAATATAACTTAATCCAGTACGCGAGTAAAGCTCCAAAGGAATATTGTAAAGCTGAACCCATATAGGAATATGAGAAAGATCAAACTCTAAACGCTTCATACTAGGTTCCCACTTCCTCAAAATCAAAGACTTATTCTGAATATGCCATGGCATGTTATCTAAAACCCAATCACGAGCAAATTCAGAGCAGAATGAGAAAACAAACAAATTTCTACCTGCAAAACTGACATGTACACCCGAACCCGTAAGACCCTCATTCTACAAATTTTCCACAATACGCTTCACAGAGGCTAACGGAGGAGCTAGCCCAAGAAATTGTCCTACCAAAGACAATTTCCACTCCGAGATACCCACCTCAAGAACCTCCGAAGGTGGATGAACCGAAGGAACCGGAGACATTTCTCGGACAATTTGGGGAAAAACTCCAAGGACTGCTCAACAGTGCTCCCAAAGAGCTTCCTCCAATCCATCAAACCAGCATTCATCCTAAGCAAAGAGCTAGAAAAACACCAAGGCGAGAAAAACCGATCGGAAATCAAGAGAAACCCGTCAATAACGCACCAGAGAACTCAGATTTCGTTAGTCCTGCTAACGTGCACCCAGAGAAAACCGTTAACGTGCACCTCCCAAAAAAAGTTAATTATTCATCCTACATTACATGTGATAATAAAATTCTCAAAAAATAATTTAATATTTCATTAATGATTAAATCAATAAACTTTGTAAAAATAATTTTGGATGATTAATTTTTTTTTGTATATATATAAATATAATTATATGATATAATTTAATTAAAATTAATTTATGTTAACATGACATAATCTTCCATTTAAAACGAATGCATAAAATTTCCATATAAATCGGTGAGATGGAAATGAAAATGAAAAGCCTTTGCCTTATCGACGAAGAGACAAGTGTTTTGTCCGTTTGTAGGATGAGATTAATATTTTTTAAAATAAAGGAAATGTATTAAGGTATTTAAAAAGACTCATATGTCATGTGTGCTGACTTGACCTTTGGATCTTTGACCACTTTCGCTCATCCCTCATTCCCTCTCCCCCACTTTATTTATTTGGATTTTGTAATACGAGTAATGATCTACGGACACTCGCAACCACAAATGCGTTTATCCATTTGTTTTGGCTTCGTACTTTTTAATTTATGTTATTAGTATTCTTTTTATAAAAGGAAAATATTGTTTGAATTGAGCTCAAGACTTACCGTCAATTAGAATAAAAATAATGTTTTTTGTTAATATATAACACGCTTTAATATATGTTTATAAAATATTTATTGATTATTAAAAAATAAATTTTAAATATATTTAAATTTATAGTTATATTTAAAAAATTAAATTTTAATGAAATCGTTTTGATATTCATTCTATTATTATTTATCTATTACTTTTTAATATATTAATAAATTATTTTTGATATGTATATATATCTCCATTGTAAGACTCAAATATAAGTTATATAATCATACTTATAATAATGTGAGTTTAACCAAATCACGTGTTACTATTCCTATAATTAAGGGGAAGCATGAAAATTAAAACAATTAGGTACAATCTTTCACTTAAATCTTTTAAAATTGAAGTTGTTACCTTAAATCATTTTTTTATTTGAAATAATTCATATCAAAATATTAGCCTTACGTTTGGTATAATAAAAGTATCAAGAGTACTTTAAAAATGTTAAATAATATTTAATTATAAAAATATATTTTATTACTAGTATGGTATTTAAAGTATTTTTTAGTATGTTTTTTTGATTTTTGATTTTAATTTATATTAACTGTCGCTAGACATTGTAGATGAATCATTCTAAAATATCACATGTTTTTTATAAAAAAAAATATAATGAAATAAAATAATTTATAAAAGGAAAATTCATGAGCCAAATTGAATCATTTTTTAAAATATTAAAATGATAATAAAATATTATTTGATAATTTTGAAAAATAGAATGATCAACCTGATGGTTACATCATCTTGATAATTATTTGGAACATACTATATATAAACCTTAAAACGTTTCTGGATCCAACCCAATCTTTCACTAATATTCCTCAAACGTTTTGGATCCAATCCAATCTCTCATTTTTGAAAAATAATATAAGGATATTTCAGAAATTCGTCTAAAGACATTAGATGCATTTTTATAAATTAAAAAAAAATATTGGACCCTTCAAGTAGTCTTAGTCTTAGAAAAGAATATCTTATTTGAGTATTTACATCTACACGATATGCACATTATCAATTAATTAAGAAAATTCGGAACAAGTATTCCCTTGTAATCAATTTAGATTATTCAAAATAAAAAAATTAAAAATCGGTGAAAGGTGGTATGCCTATACATGAACAACAAAGGCAAAAAAATAAATAAAGACATGTAACTCAAACGCTACATCGAAGGTGTGGATAGATGTGATGAAGGAACCAACCTGTTATAAACTTGTAAGCTTTTTGTGTCAAATGAATTCCATCCCAACTTATATAGCGGTCCGGATTTGGGCACAGTGCAACGTCTGCTGCTCCACACATTTTGTTCAACTCCAAGTTGCAACCACAACAAGCCTTGTCTGTTGAATCAGGGTCAAAACCTATGCATATTTACAACAAATACCCATAATATTAATAAATCAAAAACAATTTCTAAATTCTATGAATGTAAATAAACTTACCAAGAAACGTGGCTCTGTTCAGGAGCTTCATGTATGCATTGTAATAGTCGGCATATACTATGATCACATGAGGAACTTCTTTTCTCATTTCTTTTATAGCTTGTTTGAGATGGTCATTGTGATGGATTGACAAGCCGTTCAAGTCCTTGAGACAATGAAAATTGTCGTAAGCATCAGAAGCGTTGGATCGGAATCTCGTGAGGTAGATCGGCAAACAGCCGATCGGGAAGCTTCCGGGAATAATCACTCGAGTAGCACCGTAACCAACGACTCTCTGTGACAGTCAAGAACAAGGTGATTGATTTGTTTAGTGTTGCAGTTGAAATGATTATACGAACCAACAGAACTTACTGTTACAGCATCCTTTATGGCTTGAACAACGGAAGGGGCCATGGATCTGACTTCGTCGAAGGATTTGCCTTGAAACAAGGCGTAGCTGTAATCATTGCCTCCGATCTCCCCAACAATGAACAGAGCCGTTTTAAGTTTCTCGGAACAATCTATCAGACAAAAACATCAAACACCATATATTGTTAGTTCACAGTATATGCAAAATATTGAGGGAATTGTGAAAGGGGATGCTAATTAACCTTCATCGTCGCGGCATATGCCACTAAAATGGGTGAACATCCAGTCAAGCTGCCTGCTAAGGGAACTGTTGGTAACTGGGGCAACAACTCCTTTTTCGGCTAGAATTTCCACAGGTAACGCGGTGGAGCCGGCAACTGCGAAATTCACCCCACGGCCGCGTGTAAATAGTGCTTCACTGTTCAAGTAGGGCTGTAGGAATGGGATTCCAGCAGATAAAGCTGTCAAAATGACAAGTAAATTAAGTTTATTACGTATATAACTAAACATAACATGGAAAACTCCTGAAAAGGTAGAGACATGTATGATTATACACAAACACGATTAAGGTGGTTGGATTGTGACTTAATTAATGCCTTAATATCATGGCCTTTTCAGTCACTTTTTCAAAGTTAAACTCTCTTTTTTAAAGGTTCAATCTCATTGAGCTGGAAACTAACTTTTGCAAATAATTCTGTCAGTTGGTCGCGCTGTTTATTCTTCTATCTTATTTCAAACGGTTCATCCAAAAATAAATAAAAAATCTATACACTATACACTCGAAAAGCTTGGTTTTTGATGACGAAAGAGATGAAGAAAACAGATTACCAAGAAAATCGATGATAAGTAAGCCATTGGAGCATCTGCCGGTTGCATTCTTGAATAAGGTTTCACCGTAAGGAAGGGTAGCGCAAGGAGAAAAAGGGTCCTCTCGGATCAGATTTCCAGTGTCCGATGTTGAATCCCCGAGCTGATATATGGCATCAAACCTGCAAGTCTTAAGAATACCTGCATTGCATTGCGGTGAACGACGAAGAAGAAGAAGAAAGAGGGAGCAAAAGAGGACGGCAACTTGAGAACGAAGACCGGAAGCCATTCTAATTTTCAAGAGAGAAACGATTTAGCTGTAAAGAAAATATTCGGCTAATAGCTATGACTTAGAACTGCCTGAGACAACTGATACGATATTTTTATATAGGGCGAAAAAGTAAACTTTAAATAGATAAGTATAATAAAAGTTTAAATCTTATTTATTGATTAGTTCACCATTCATGATTAATTTAATCTATTCATTTTATATTCATGGATAATTCTATTTATATTTATCTTAATTTATTTAATAAATCATTTAAAATTTATTTAACATGAAATATACGCAACAATTACAAAAAACTAGTTTATTGTTATCGTGTGTGTCTATTTTATTTATAAAATCAATATTATGTTATATAAATAAGAAATGTATTATTAATAGTTTGATTACTTTGTATAAACATAATTTTAGTTATTTTTAAATTCATTGAATTATATTTATGAACTACTCATTTAATTTTTATTGTACAAATATTTTTTTATATTAAAGAACAAACACGAAGAAATATAATTTTAAATAATAAATATAGTTCAAATTTTGAAAATTTCAATAAATATTAACATTCTTTTTTGAAAATATTAAAATCAAAATAATAATTCTATTTTTATGGGGGATAGATTGAAGGGTTATATATGTAGCCCCAAATAAAAAAATAATGTTAATAACATGAACCAAGTAATTTTAGTGATAAAATAACTATTGTTATTCTTTAAAATTTTAAATTTAAGTATTGAAAATATAAGAGATATAAACGTTTAATATCGAATTATTAAAAATTACTTTTAAACATATATTATTTTATATTTATCTCAGATTAATAATAATAATAATAAAATTAATAACTTTCAAATGCTTTTTTGTTTGTGGGCTGAAATCATAAATGCTAGAAGTTGGCCATAATTGGTGACATGATTGGGTCCAGTAGGGCTCTCAAAAAGTAGCCCAATCGTACCACCCACCTTCCCCCATTCTTAATTAATGTGCTGTCTGGTGCGGTGAAGAAAGTTACAGTTCATAGCACCGCCTGCTGTCCTATGATTTGGTGCTTTTCAGTAACTTAATGTCACCTTTAGACAAGTATTAGTATTTGACACCCCATTTTATGATTTGTGCTAACTCTACACATTCATGACTTGAAATAGTTGTCTACGCACAAAATATAATTACTTCAAAGACCAAGTCGTATTTAAACCAATAGACTGCTTAAGACTAAAAAAAAGTAATTATTATAGATATTGAATTCAAATCTGATTGTAAATAATAATAAGTAAATATTTCTATTAAATTATAATTATAGATATACTATTGACAGTTCAAATTAAAATAATTATTTAATATAATATAATAACATTTTTAACATTTAAGATTTTCATACTATTATTAAATTTAATTTAATTTAAAATAATTTTATATATTTAATTTTTTATCAATATATTTTTCTTGTAATATTGTTAAAAGAATCAAATTCGTCGGATCAAATTAACATATGAATAATTGTATTTTTAGTCCTAAAAATAAGTTGTTATTTTTTATATGTAAAAACAGTTATTGTAAAATTATTATTATACAAAAAAATTAACATTTATGAGAAAATAACAAATAATTTCCTTTAAAAACAAATAAATTGAGAGGAAATATATTAAATTAAATAAAAAATTAAATATAAAAGCCCAATTTACTAAATTATTTTTAAATTAAAAGTAAATTAATAAAATATACTAATTTAAAAAAGCTATAATTATTATTATATCAAATTATATCACTATTTCATCTAAATTTAATAACTAATAGTTTGTTTATAATAATAATTAAATTAAATAATTATATTATATTTTTTTAAATATAATATATTTATTACCCAACAAATAATTAAATGACTTCAAATATATTTTAATTAATTCAAAACATAAAATTATCAATTAGAAAAACCCTAGAAAAAGAAATCATTTTACTCGAAATAACCTTAATATTGCATTAAGTATGTCACCCACCATGATTATTTCAATTAGAAAAATAAATCACTTTTTTTATTAACGAAAAATGGCAAACAGCTTTCATGAAAAGAAGCACCCAATCGATTGAATCAGCCCTTACTATTGCAGACAAAGATTGTATCGATTGAATCACTTTTTTTAATAACGAAAAATGGCAAGAGCTATAGTAAATGAGCAGAAACACTAGTAGTAGAACCAGAGCAGAGATAGTAGAGAGCATAGACTAAACAACAAACGGGTAAACGAATGATTTTAGAAGGTGATAAAATTTAAAAGGAAAATGAGAGAGAAAATATATACCGAGTACACTTAAACATAGACAAGAATTGCCTAAAATAAGGGAGGGGAGCGGCAAATCTTCTTCTATAAAATCACATCAAACGGGTAGAAGTTTCATTCTGAATTGAAACCTAAATCGGTAAACTATAACAGAGAGAAAGAGCCCAGCAAAGTCTCACTACTGCTGAGCGTTTTCTTGCTGTCCTTCCTCTCGCTTCGGTGCTTCTTTGGTATCATCGGCTTCGTCATCCTAATTAATTTATGGCAAAATTAGTATGCATTTTGTTAGAGGGGTAAAAGGATTTTAATTTTAGAAGTTGATATCCATGTACCTGCATATCGGAGGTCCACAGAGTGAGATTGTCACGGAGGAGTTGCATGATGAGGGTGCTGTCTTTATACGACTCCTCTCCTAGAGTATCCAACTCAGCTATTGCTTCATCAAATGCCTGGCCATAAAGTGAAAAGAACAATCACGTCCCCAAGTTTAGATTTATGAAAATTTCCGATAATAATAAGAAGAAATTGGTAATCAACCTGTTTCGCGAGATTGCAAGCGCGGTCGGGAGAATTGAGAATCTCATAGTAGAAAACAGAGAAATTGAGTGCCAGCCCGAGTCGAATCGGGTGAGTAGGAGCCAACTCGGCGTTGGCAATGTCCTAACGAACAGAGAAAATGTTAACCAATAAAGAAACAAAACCATCCAATTAGACTTTTAAAGAAAACGAGGCATTGTTTTGAACACCTGAGCAGATTTGTAGGCAGTGAGGGTGCTCTCAGCAGCTTCCTTGCGTTCGGCTCCAGTCTTGAACTCAGCCAAATACCTATGATAGTCTCCCTTCATCTTAAGATAAAAGACCTTGGAATCTCCAGAAGAAGCCGAGGGGATAAGCCCCGTATCAAGGAGCTTCAAGATCCCGTTACAGATGGAAGTAAGCTCGGACTCGATCTTGGCCCGATAATCACGGATCGTAGTGACGTGATCATCGTTACCACGGCTCTCCTCTTTCTGCTCGATGGAGGAGATGATGCGCCAGGAAGCACGGCGAGCGCCGATGACGTTCTTATAAGCGACGGAGAGGAGGTTTCGTTCCTCGACGGTGAGTTCCTCCTTGTCGGCGGAAGCAGAGACTTTCTCCATGAACTCGACCATTTCGTCGTAGCGTTCGGCTTGCTCTGCGAGTTTTGCCATATAGACATTTTTCTCGCGGGGAGAAGTAGTAGCGGCGGCGGCCATTGTCGAGGGAGAGAGAGAGAGGCAAAAGGCAAAGCCGGTAAGAGTAAAGACTAAAGAGAAAGGGGTAGGTTTTGAAAATGATAAGACGCGAGAATTGGAGGAAGTTTTTGATGGCATATGCGATGATTGCGTTGAGGGAGGAGGATCAAATATGAACCGTTGGATTTAGGAGGCAAAAGCAGAGGGTATTTTAAAAGCCTTGCTGGAAAACACGGGGCTTCTGGAAAAGCTACTCTCACTTTGTTTGTTTGGGAGGTAATTTTTAAAATGATTGGTGGGCTTTTCCGTAATTAAGTTTTGGATTGCTCTGTATCCCTCTCGGCCAGTTAGATTCAAATATAGTTTATCACAACTATACTAACTGTAATACCTACATTATTCTCAAACAAAAAAATATTTAACAGTGGTTTTAGCTTTATTTTACGATTATGAATTAACCAATGACGCTTTCACAGTATAAATTGAGGTTAAAGGAGGTAGTCTTGTGGTATATGGTCACGATTTTAACATTTTTAAAGAAATTAATTTTTCTTTTAGAATTAATAACTTGTATATGATTTTTTTATCGATTAATCCAGATCGGGTATTGTAGAGCGATGATGACTTTTTCAACTCAGATGACTTCATTTGCAAATACTAAGATTCAAATCTCTGACCTTATTTAATAAAATGATTTTGATAATTAATATACATTTCATTTTAGTTTTCTAAATGTATTATAAGTAATATCATTTTCTTAATTTTAGTTTTTAAATATAAAAGTAAACAAATCTTAATTTGATTAAAAGAATTTAATCACGTCATCATAATTTCTACGATTAAAAGTTAATATTATTTTTGTCCCTAATCACCATTTCCCCTCTAATAATACATATCAAAGCTTTAAACATCTTTGATTTAGGAGCGACACCTTCACTGGTTACCGGAGCTAAAAGCCTTAAAACTAGAGCTGGGTATATGGGTTAAGGTCCGCGGGCTACCCGTTTAACCTGCGACCCGTGCGGGCTTCGGGTCTCAAAAATTGAAGACCGTTTAAATTGCGAGCTTTTTAACCCGGACCGTTAAACCCGCTGGTTTAATGGGTATAACCGCGGGCTACCCGTTAAACCCGTTAAAGCCCGCTTAATTTAAAATTTATAAAATTTTAGAAAAAATAAACTTAAAGAATTTTATAAAAAAAAAGAAAATAAATTACTTATAAATATGATGTTACTTATAATTATTGTAGTTCTTAAATTTATTAGGGTGTTTGTCATAATTTTACCGTTGCTTGATATTTTTTTCATTTAAATATACATCATTATCATTTTGGTATTTAAAGTTTTTTTTATTTAATTATGACCTTTATTTTTTTTCATGAAGTATGTTATCCATTTTGTTCTTTAATTATAAAAAGTCACGTGATATTCTAATAATATATCACATGACACGTAATATTTGGATTAAAAATAAGAAAGAAAAGTAAAATAAAAAATTGAAAATATACTTTTCAACTTTTAAAGACTTTTAC